TCCTAAACTTGCAAAGGAGGCCAAGCTGAATTGAAGTCATTGCTAGTCCTGAAAAAGGCTGATATCGTAGGCCTTAGCATCACAGATTGTTAGTCCTGAAGTGCATTCAAATTAATGGTTTTCAAACCATATTCTGTGGATCCCAGGGCGTCCCACCAGGATTTCGAGGAAGGATCTTAAAGCCCTGTTCCTTCACCCACAACAATCGCAACAACAAACTATCTCTTTCCCATTTTAGATTTCCATATAGAATTGTTCAGGGGAAAAAAACCCCAAATATTTTTCTGTATTAAACTTTGAAAGCCATCAAACAAGTCTGTATATTTTACAGATGAAGAATTTGTTCATCAAATATGTTTTGAACACATTCATTTATGGTGCTCAGTGCTAGATTTTGGAGTTGTTCATTACTGAACCATGATGTAACAAACACTGACAAACCTAGAAATCTCAAGTTCCTTATATTTCATTATCTGGAACCAATGGTGTGTTTGTGTTGGCTTGTGCTGGCTTACAAAAGCAAGATTAATTTTCAGGAAATTTGTTAATAGGTTCTCAAAATGCATAGCTTCCTAGTTATTCTTCAATATTTAGCTGTTATCTGTGTTCTTGATGACTTATTTTTCTTATGCCTGCATGATAGAAATAATATAAAATGGTGTTCTCTACCACATCTCTTCCCAGCTGCCCATTCAAATGATGTCAGGCTGATAATTTGAAATTGGCCATGACAGACAGGAGTATTTATACCACAGAAATTAGCAAACTTGCCACAAATTAGGGCTTCCTTTTTTAAACCAGAGGGCATGTTGTTAAGCATCATTGGCCAGAAGTGGCATAAACCTACTTCTAAACCAATAACTAGCCAAAGGGAATGGGATTATCATGTCTAGCACAGATCCATCCTGATTTACTCACTGGAACTGGACTTTTCTTTCATGAACATAATCTTGCCAATGTCTGTATGTAATGGGGGCTCATTAGCAAGCAGTGAATGAGGCGTGTGGTAGAGAGATGAGCTGTTGTTGGGGAACCAGAAATCTACCCACACATGCTGTGAGACCTCAGTGGGAGAGAAGCCCTTTCTGATAGAAGAGCTCAGAGCCTTTAATGGGGAAGGCAATGGGAGCCCTGATCCTCAGAGAATGATGGGGTTTTCTCAGAAAGTGCTAAAGAGAGCAACAGCACCCCAAACTGAATGAGGCATGAGTGCAAGGAAGAGCTTGGGGCCCAGCAAACCATTCTCTTCCGAGAGGAAGAGGCAACTGATCGGTACAGAGGAAGGGTGACCCCCCACTGTTGGGGACCTTGGTACCATGATGAGGAAGTTCGACCTCTGGGCCAAGGGGAGCCTCAGAGCCCCTGGGCAGGAAGGAGATGACCCCTGCTTCTCCTGGTCAGACCAATCTGATTCCAGAGAGTGGGGGAGGTGGAGGGGAGGGAGAGTGGGGGTTGGGAGGCCATTTGGATCATTGGTGTGGCTTTCTGGGTTGTAAATAACAAAGGTCATTCTGATGTAGGGCAGTCTCAGTAAAAACCAAAAAGATCACCTGGACCAGTCTGATAGCTGACACAGGAGTCCTAGACATCCCTTATGATGGCTGTCTTTCATTGAGCACATACTGCTTTTGAGACACTCTTCATTTATAACTTGTTGAATGAAAGATGTGGCGCATTCAGAAAAATAGCTCAATTTTTCCCCTACCTCTGTCTTCCATTCCCATGTTAGATATTCTACTCTGACCTCCGTGTGTCCTGCCACTGTCTCAGAAAATTATGGAATTACATCTAATCCCTCTCTTTGGAATATTGGGCAACTTGTCACTGCTTGTCCACAGCCACAATGTAAATCTGGAAAAGTCCAGTTTAAGATCCTCTTAAAAATCATTCTAGGGCTGGGGATTTAGCTCAGTGGTTCTGGCGCCTGCCTCAAAAGCGTAAGGTCCTGAGTTTGATCCCCAGTACCAAAAAAAAAATCATTCTAATATTAATATCATTAACATACTTTAGTATTAATATGATTTAATTTTCACAAACCCTATGATGTAAGTGAAGGACCCTAGTTAGCAAGACAGACTCCATATTGCTGCTTGATCCACCTGCCTGCCCTTTAGATGAACTCAGGAGGAAGCTTAGAAACCTCCTCCCCTTAGAGAGTCTCTTAGAAACAACAATTAATCAACTATTGTTTTACAAATGTTCTAACAGCAGGACGTTCCGCTTCTGTGCCTTTTGCTTGCTTTACTAGTTCTATCCCATAGAGGGGGCCTAAACTGTTGGCCTCAAAGGTGTATAAAACATGTTTGTCTCCCCCGAGTCGGGGCTCGAGTCCGATGCTCGGCTCCGGTCCCGGCTGGTAATAAACTCCTGTGTGGATTTAATATCAGTCTCTGGCTGGTTCTCTCTCACTGGGTCTAACTGTAAGCACTGCAGCTGAGGATCTGGGACTTGGAAGTTGAGTAACTTGCCTGCTGTCCCACCACCAGTTGGACTTGGCATATGCATTCAAGTCTCTGTCTCCAAGGTTCTTCAGCACATCCTGATACTCTCTCTCAAAAGATGAGCCAGATCTTGAGGCTGAGAGTCCAGGAGAGCCAGGCACCATTAGCAGTGAGGGAGGATCAAGAGTGGGAGTGGTTTGAGACTGACAGTGACTTCCATTGCTGAGGCGGTGAGCTGGAAGTTGCAGGGGACATAGGGCATCCTAGTGATGTCTGAGGATAATGGTAATCTTCTCATTCTCCACTGGGGAAGGAGAACTTGATAAAAAGATAACAGGGCAAGGGAAACCAGGACGTTTTATGCTTCAGTCTGATGGATAAGTTAGCTTGTGTTTGTGTTTTCTGATGATTCTGAGAAGACACATCTGTCTGAAATTGCTGATAATTTGTCTAAGAGGTAAAAACTTGTTTACTGATACCATCTCTTGGCTTTCCTGTGAGGTGGCAAAGTGGGTAATCGTCCTTCTATAAATAAAAAGACGGATAGAACCATCCAAGACACAAGGGCAAAAATCCAGCTTTCCAATCCTGCACCAGCAGGGAGCTTAGAGCGAAGCCGGATGTCCACAGGCACAGACAGGAATCTCTTCCCGGGGGTTGACACAGCCTGAGGACCAGGACCTGGAAGCATCACAGAAAACTAAGTAGCCAGCTACTGATTACTTAGCATAGCAAATGTCACCCAATCCCAATAGCTGCCGAGTGGAATTAAAATGTGGTGTTTGACCTTGGGCCTTTACCACCCCCTCTGAGCCTCAGTTTCTTCCCCTGGGACAGGTGGAAAATGACTCTTCACACATGTGGTTTGGAAGATTAAAATAAGAAAGCACATGTTACATATGTTCATCTGTCTACCAATAATTATCGTCACCTGTGTCACCAGGCACAGGAGCAAACTTTCCTCTATGGAGCAAACTTCAATCAATATGGGTACACCTCTCATCTGAGGGCAAATGTATTTGGGGAGTGGGTTCTTGTGCCTGCATTTCAACTGGAATGGGGCTGGTGTTCCAGGAGAAGCCTCCTACAGTGGCTCTGGAAAGCTGTGACTTGAAATGGACTGGGAGCTTGGAGACTCTTGAGTCCCCTTTTCCTCCCCTGAAAGCCTCCCTCAGAGCTGCTATAGCTCAGGTGTCAGTGAGCTTCTCTAACTGCGAAGTCAATGGTCAGCCAATGAGATTGAGGGAAAACTTAATAAAAGGAGAGCAGATTCTGACCCACTGAGTCTCATGGCCTCAGACACGGAGCTACAGCCCCTCATCCCTTATTATGAGCAAGAGAAAACTGACCCTCAGGGAAGGAATGCTACTGGTGTGGAGGCATGCAGCAACTTAGTGACAGGATTGGGGCACAGATCTCCAGACTATGTCTTCTTTACCCACAGAAGTGGCTTTTATGGTTAATGATCTCAGAAGTAAGGTTTGCTAGACATCATGTACAGCATGGACACATGAAATCAGAATGTGACTTCTCGGTCAGCTTGGCTTTGCACAATCCTTACTGTACACTCTGCTCCTGGGTGGGAAGGTGTGCCCTCCTCAAATTGGCCAGGAAAGGGCTGGTACTGAGGAGCAACTCCATTCAAATTCTTTCATTCATTCATCCCCTGAAGCACTTATTGAGCACCTGTAATGTGCTGTGAACAGTGCCAGAGCTGGGTAATTTGTACCTGTCCCATCTCACTTCCTGTGCAAGAAGGAGCCTGGCCTTCCAAGAGCTGGGGTGGGAAGATTAGGTATTGTAGGGCTGCCAAGGGGGGGGCGGGGTCATGACACCAGAGAGGTCTAGGACACCCAGACAAACTGGGGTGGGGAGAACCATGTTTGAAGCTGAGAACCAGCCACAGGGAGGTGGCAGATGCAGCATAAGTTGGGGGATGGCCCAGCAAGACACCCAGAGGGCCATGCAGCAAAGCAAATGGGTGGGAGGAGCAGCCAAGGGAGCCAGATGGGCTTTGCTATTTATCAGCCCTAAGGAGGGAGCCGGGTTAGAAATGTGGGGCTGGGTTTTTACTGTTCTTCTCAGAGAGAACAAAGGCAGAAGGAGCCAAGCTGAGAGATCCCCTTGTCCATCGGGTCTCAGTGCCGCTCACAGGCACAGCACCCTCCCACGAGGAGCATCTTTGATTACAATCACCCTCTCCCTCCAGACCACGGAGGAGAGGAAAAGAGAGGCAGAGAAGGCTGCAGACGTTCGCAGGTCAGAACCTTGGGTGGGGAGACACACAGGGGAAAGACACTCATCAAAATTCTGCTTCCCCCCTGGCAAGGTAGGCCTCCCCTTGTTGAGACTCACAGCTGTGAATAGAAAGAGAAGCCACCAAAGGCACAGGGCTCACAAGAGTCAATCACAATATTTATTGAGCGCTTACACTGTGGGGGTTATTGGGAGAAATACAGCTACCGTCACTCGTCTTGTGAAGGTGATTTTACTTGAAGGAAGGGGACATCTGTGAAGCATATAGGGATGTATGTAACTGAACCGTAGAAACAGACACTGCTCATTCACCACCACAGGTTTATTAGAAGTTACCACGGAGACGGGGGCACAAGAAGCCACTGAGATGCACGATTTAATTAAAGGACAAAGATACAGCTCTCCATTCCAGTGCCCTAATGTATCACTCTGGTGATGGGAGGAAGCTACCAGAAGCTACTAGAAAATACCAGAAAGTTGATATATTTGTTTATTTTAACTCTATGGCCACTTCAGTTCCTAATCTACTTTTACATAAAACAAAGCCAGTTAACAAAGTATGAGAATAACATTATATTAAATTTTTTAAACATTGGTGAAATCAGACTTTTCCAAAGGTCAGATGCAGATCCTGAAAGTTAATAGTTTTTCCTCTTCTTTTAGAAAAGGCTTCCATTAAGCCAAAGACTTTTCAATCAATTAAATGAGCAGAGGAATTTTATTGCTCTATAGCTGGAAAATCATCTATATTTTTATATGCTTTTAAAAATATTTCAAAGTAGGATTGCTAGTTAAAATACAGGACATATTTTAGTGCATGAGACAGAGTTATACTAAACATTTTTCATTGCTTATCTGACATTAGAATTCGTTGGGTATCTGTACTTTTATTAGATAAGCCGAGGGACCTTATTTTTAGGTTAACACATCTTTGGAACTTCCAGAAGTTCCCAGGAATTGGAGGGGGGGCGTTGTTTTATTTGTATGTTAATACTGTCAGAGGGGAAGACTTATTCTTCTGGCAGGAAAATTGTAGATAATGGTAAATATTGATGACATTTTTCTTTCATACACCTTTTATCATTACGTTTGGAGCAATGCACATCTTAGTTGGTTGAATTTTTACCTTGAAATCTTTGAGATGGTTAGTGAAAGAAAAATAAAATTGTGGTTAGAGAAGGAAAATTCCCCTCTAACAGTCAGTCACACTGTCAGTTTCTTCTTAGAGCATGGCCATCGTCCACGAGAAAGCAAATGTGATGCCCGCATCTTGTCAAATTACACAACACGTGTCCCCACATCACCTGGTGATGGGAGGAAGCTTGTCACTCTCCCCTCCTCCCTCCACACTGAGGTTCTGGAGGGGTCACAGCTGAAATCACCACTCAGAGTGTCACCCTGGATCAGTGGGTACAGATGACCCCAATGAAACAAAAAGAAAACAACCCATTTTTCAGGTGCTTGGAGTCATGAAGCTGTAAACTTCGTTTTTTCTGTGTTTGCTTGCTTCCCATAGCATTATGCAAACTTGCTTCTGTCAAAAGTATCTATACTGATTTATTTTAGTAGATAGGACAATGTCATCCTTAAGAAAAAAAATTTTGGTAGTCTGGACTGATATATACTATTCTAGAAATGCATGTCCCTGGTATCTGAACGTATAACTCCTGTCTTATTTTAAATTGAGATATCTAACTTAAGATAGACAGGTTTCAACATTAATTTTGCAAACACAGTTCACACAAAACTCCTCATTTTATGAAGGAATATAAAATGGGTAACATTTGCTATCATTCCAACGTCTATTAAGAATTCTTTTTTCTTAACACACCAAAGAGTGTACCTATATATAAAGAATATAATTATATATTCAGTTTATGTATATATATATACATAAAATTAACAAATTATTAGCAAACACTAGATTATATTTAAAAGCATAGGCAGTTTAAGCATTCAAAAGCTATTTGTTAACTAAGTCCCTTTATGCCCGTTTTGCTTCTGGGCCTGACTAAACCTGTTTAGATCCTTGGCCAGGTACACATCATTCACAATTCTTCTTTGTACCTGGAAAGTCTTTCTGGAAAAGAGGAAGTGCAGATAAATATAGGAAATTAAGTTGAGACAATGAAGTAATGAGGTTTAAAATCACCATATAAAGCAGAAGCAGAAAACACTTCTGATGCATCATTTGCCATTCAACATTCCCTATAGTAAGATATTATTCCATGTAGCTTTTGCCTTGTAATCTCTTTTCTTTGTAGAAATATGAGTTCTATTAAATTCCATCTTTAAGACAACATTCCTCCAGTTGTTCTGATGATATCATAAGCTAATGTTTCTCAACTAAGCTCAAAATGAAAAACACCAGAGTGGTTTCTTCCTACAGAACATGACCAAAGGAGGTGACCCCCGGAAGATGGGTGGCTGCAGTAGGTACATGTAAGAGTGATTGGCTCCCTGGGACAAAGCAGCCCCTGCAGCTCTGCACAAGCTGAAGCAGCAGAATAGAGAAGTGTGTCACTATGGAGAGCCACCACTTACCTGGGGTGTTCCAGAACTTTTCAGAGCTCTGTGGGGTTCACATCTGCATTTGAACATATGCTTGGCAACTGCATTTGCAGCGGGACTCTGTAGATTCCTGTCACTAGCCCACCCAGCTTTCTCTGATGGTGAGTATTTCTGAGAATATCCTGCCTGAACTACCTGGAATCCAAGTCATGGCTGCACTCAAGCTGGGCTTCCCCTCCAAGAAGTGAAGAAGGATGAGAAGCAGACAATGAAGAGTGCCCACAGGGAGCATGGCCTTCCTTCTCCAGTGCTGCTTCCTCCTCCTGCTTTCTCCTTTTCTTCCTTCTCTCTTCCTCCCCAGTGGCCTCCTTTCTGTGGCACTGGGTGGCCCAGGGCCCCGCTCACGGGGGTGGAGCAGAGCTGCTCACATGGCTGTATGAGTACCTGGACAGAGACGCCCCTGTGGTCCTGCCTTCCTCCTCCTCTCCCACCTCTCCTCTCACCCCAGGGGGACCTGGGTTGGGACAGCAGGGGAAGGTGGCCATGAAGCCGAGGCGGAACCGTTTGTTCATGAAGCAGTAGATGATGGGGTTGACACAGGAGGAGGTGTAGGAGAGCAGGAGGATGAAGGAGATGGGCGTGCCGGAGAGGTGGCGCTCAGCAGAGATGGTGTCATAAGCCCGCCAGGCATTGGCACTGAAGATGGGCATCCAGCACAGGAAGAAGAGGACCACAATGACAATGAGCATGCGGATCACCCGCTTCTTGGCCATCAGGTTGGCAGCGGAGCTGCTGCTCCGGATGCGATTTATCCTGCTGCCACCACTGCTGTTGGGGGACAGCTGCCTCAGCTCCAGCTTCTGGGGGTGCCTGGGCTTCTGCAGGTCACACCCATCGCCATCCTCCAGTCGGCCACCACTGCTAGTGCTCGGCTTCCTTTCTGCGTGGGCAAATGACAGCATTATTGTTTGGGGGCTTCAGCCACGCCCTGGCATGGAGCCCCCACCTCCCTCCACTCAGGAGGCCAAGCCAAACCGGAACTGGGGGATCTAGCAGACCACCGTGGCCCATGCCGGTTGAGTATGGGCCTGTGCTCGTTCTCGGCTTCAAATGAAAAGCTACTTGCAACTAATAAAACCATGTATCTATAGCATAATATGTAATAAAGTGATATCTTGTATAAAGGTGATATGGATAAAAAATTATTATAGAATGAATATGAACACAAAGATACGAATTTTAAAAATGGGAAAAAAGAAAGAATAGTCACACTCTTCTCCCTTCTTTCTTTTACTCCTCAGCAGGAAGTTCCTCCCCATTTGTAAGTTTCCAGATTCCTTTTTAGATAATGAGAAAAAATCAAGGAAAACCACAGAGAGCAGAGCTTTAGTTATCTCCATAGTAAAGAGCTGACTAAGGGGGTGGGGAAAAAGGGAAAGTTTACAGCAACACAATGTACCCCATCTTATAACTAGGTTGTGTGTATATTATCTTCTTTTATCCCACTGAGTACCCCTTTAAAGAGGAATTACTGTATTTCCCCACTTTGCAGGTGAACAAATACCGAGATGGGGTCTCAAGACTGTGCCGTATGACAGTCTCAGAAGAGTACTTCCAAACGTCTCCAGTATGCCCAGTATGGACTCCTGGTAGAGCCATCCAAGTGATAGAAAACCAGCTTCTGTGCTCTTCTGGCATAAACATGCAGCTGTAAGACAGTTACCTTTAGCGGATTTCTTCTGGCTAGCATCAAATTTTATTCCTTGGTAAAGTTCCAGAGAGATTAATCCGTATGCCACCATCATCACAATTCCAGGAATAAGAAAGAGGATGAGCAGCAGGAACATGTGCCTGATAACATGAAAGGAAATCTGATAACCAGCACCTCTGAACCTTCAAACTCAGCTGGGAAAGGACGACCAGGGTGCATCTTTATTTCAACTGGTCTATGCAGGCACAGTAATTATTAGCATTTAGTATTGTTGGAGAGTCCATGCCTGGCAGGTGAGTCACTGGAAGTTGTTTACTTCTTTTCTTTTTCAAGATAAAGACCCTTATGAAGGAATAGTTCAATAGAAAAAGGTTGGTCTAATTCTGTGCCTGAAACAAGTTTGCATATTAAAAATAACGAATAGGGCCGGGGATTTAGCTCAGCGGTTCCGCCTCCTGGCTTGCAAGCGCAAGGTCCCGAGTTCAAAAGCGCAAGGTTCCCGGTAAAAAACAAAACAAAACAAAACCCAAAGAGGTGGGTGTGAGTTTGCGTGCCTATTGTCCCAGTTACTCAAGAGGGTAAGGCAGGAGGGTCCCTCGAGCCGGGAAGTTCAAGGCCTGGGATCAACATAAGGAGACCCTATCTCAAAATAAATAAATAATCGGGCCAGGGATTTAGCTCAGTGGTTTTGCTGCCTGCTGCACAAGCACAAGGACCTGAGTTCGATCCCCTGTTACCAAAAAAATATAAATAAATTTAAAAAAATAATGAAAGCTTAAAAAATGAGAGTATGTGAATTATATCTCAAAGCTATTACCAAAATTAAACATAATAATAATGAGAGCTTACATTCATTGAGGACTTATGCTATGTGCTCCTGGCTAGGTTAAGCATTTTACGAATATTACTACATTTAATTCCCCAAATAACCTTTGAAATCAACACTATTGTCCTAATACCTATATTACAGTGAGGAAATTGAGGCTTAAAGTACTATATAATTGTCTAAGGTCACACAGCTAGTGGCAGAGTTAGAATTTGAACCTAAGCAATACAGTTCTAGAGCCTGCATTCTTAGGCATCAAAATTTATGATTTGTTGACTTTATGACAAGAGAATAATTGAACCCTTAGCTATGGACAGCGGGAAATCTCCTTTTGGTTTTACAGAATTAGCATCTGCCTGCTTCTGAGCCACGAGCAGCTCACAAGTTTCTGAGGGCATCCATTCTCCACAGTCAGCCACACTTGTACAGCGGCACACTTGGTCTCGTGCCCAGCGGGTAGAGCTATGCTTTCTCTAAACACATTTGATGCCTGAGGATTCACAGCCTCCCGCTTTATGAGCCTGGCCCCTAAATCACTTGTGCAGTCTGGCCTGTGTAAGGTAGCACGATTAAGCCATAAAATTGTCAGAGGCTTACAGTGCCTGGGCCATTTCTCATTGCAATTGGACAAGCTTTGATAAGATCCTTTTTCAGGTCTTGGAAATATCCCTCTCATTTGCAGCATAATTCTTGTGTGTGTACTACTTGGCTGGAATGAATGAGAAAGGTAAAGAAAGCCGACGGGATCGCAGTTTTGAGCTGCTTCTGAAACATCCTCGGAATTAGTAAAAACACCCTGCATTTGTGTCACTTTCATAAAAACATTTTTTTAAATGAGAGCACATGCTTTCATTTGAACTGTGTAGCAACCCAATGAGTTAGATTTTAAAAATCTGTGTAATTAGCTCTTTGTAGAAATGAAGAACCCGAAGTTCACATTACAGGAACTTGTCCAAGGTCACCCAGCAGGAAAGTCCCCGGAGCTGGTATCGGAATCCCACCTTTCTGGTGAAGTCTCTGGACAAGCACCACGGCTGCAGCTCTGAGAAAAGTGGTGTCGCGTTTGATACTCGCTTTCAGCTCTGTCTTCGGTTGTTTAGAAAATAGTAGCTGTCCAAGCCGTCCAGTTTACGTTCCACTCAATCATCTAGCAGCATTCTGCACAGAGACACTGGCCCTGCCTAGATTTGTGAGTGGGCAACTTAGACTTTCAAGTTTCAGTTCCCTCATCTGTAAAATGGACACAATGTATCTACTCTGCAGGACTTGTGGAGGATTAATTGAACCAATATACACGTGGCATTTAAAACAGAGCACTCTACCTAAGTGTTTGTTTTCACTGTTATTCTAGAACCAGGGTAGAATAACTCTTCTCAAAAAGCCTCCATGACACTAATCTCCCAACCATTCTGAGCAAGACATTCCAGTTTTTCATATTACAAACTTAAATCAAGTTGTATAAAGAAATAAACACAATGCCACCTTACCAGGACTGCTGCATAACACCATTTGGCAGTAGGAAGCGGCACATATTCCCGGTCTGGTTGTTATTTTTGGTAAAAGGCACCAAGTTGCTATAAATGGGGTACGGAGTCATGATGGTAAAGGAGAGGCACCAGGTAGCAGCAATCACCTTCAAAGCATGCGATTTTGTTTGCCAGACTCGGGACTGTAAGGGCTTGCAAATTGCTCCGTATCTCTCCAGTGATATGGCTACCAGATTAAAGGTGGATACACTCACAGAGGTGCCTGCAAAGGAGCAAAGAAAAGGTTATGTCAGTGCTGAAATCCAAAGTTTATTTGGATATTAACTTTAAGCATATCAGATCTGCACAGGTTTAATATCAAAGGGGAATGCTCCAGCGCAACAGAAGTATTGTGTATATGTATTTTAAAGACATGATTTATTCCCAGCTTTGTTCCAAAAGGATTTAAGGCAGTTGAGGAAATGTATTTGCAAATACATCTACTGCCAGTTTTCAGATAAGTTTATTGAGCTTTGATTGCAATCTAACTCCTGCTTAGGTTGAAGGTACTCATTAATTAATAACCAAGGTGATAAAAATACATTGCTACCCCTCCGAAAAGGATTTTGAGAAATCTAGAGAAAAGCACTAATCAACACTAGACATGCAAACGCATGATCCTCATGGTTAAACTGACCTGAAAACCCAAGATTCTCAAGGACTCTGTAACCCTGCAAGGTCACTGGAATCTTGAGCTGGAAGCATTAATTTTCTAAAAATTTCTAGTACACACTTTTTTCTAAAAGGAGAAACATTCTTAATTTTAAAATGTAATCTCTTAAAAAAGACATAGTAAAAAAGATGGAAGAGAAAAGCTCTGTGCTGTAACTAAAGGTTTCTCTGGGTGGGGGGACAGGAGTCTTCCTTTTCACTCTTTTGTTCATTTTGTGAAGAGGGCATGCAATACCATTACAGTGTGAAAAACTTCACATCCATCATGTGTAAAAACATATATTTGAGCATGGTAATAAAAATGTCACACCTCATTTCCCTTAATATTTGTATTGTGTATATGTGCTAATTGTAACATCTCATCCCTTGAAAGTTTTCCTTGGAATTCTTCAGCCATGAATTCTGTCCATTTTAATTATTTCTCAAACCTCAAGATTAATATAGATTGGAAAACAGAGTTCTTAACCTGACTCCTTAAAACCTTACTATGTATACAGTTTTAAATAAACGCTCTGAAATTCTGTAAAATCAAACCTGTTTTTGCAAGGCTGGAACCAATTTTTCTCAGTCTTAAAGGAGTCTGTGACTCTAAAACCATTAAATAAAAGCTGACATTCTGGGATGGGATTGGCTATGTTTTTCTGGACTTTGCCTTAAAGAGTTAATGCCATTAAGAATCAGGAGGATGAACCCAAACACTATTAAGTTTCACTCTGTGTAGTGGATTCACTGTAACTATGAGCTCACTGTCAGAAGAGTACTCATCCCCTTCTTTCTGGCTATAAATAAGAAATTTAATGAATGGTAATAATAGTATTGAAGAGACCACAAAAAAATCCAAATCACTAGAACTAGATGCACAGCAAAGGAAGTATGACATCCCTAATACTTTCAGAATTATCTTTTCTTTTTTTGCCTATTTAACTTTTTTTTTTATTGAGGCAAAAGTCACGTAACACATAGTTAACCATTTTAAAAGGAGCAATTCTTTGGCATTCACACTGTTATGTGACCATGCAGTCACACGTTCAAGTAATATTCCATAAAGTATATATGGATATGCCTTGGAACTCTAAAGCATTGTGGAATAGTAGTTGCTATTATCATTGCTTTGTTATTTAACAATAATTTTTTTCATTTAAAAAAGTCATTTTCTCAGGCTTTGGACACAGAATGACATGTTCTTTGTTGCTTTTTCCTGGCATGAGGGTCAGTAATCATCTTCATTTTATCTGTGCTAGATCCCACTTCCTCAGTGGAAAAAAATAAAGGCTCTTCAAGCTTTCTGGTCATTGGCACCTGCCCTAGGCCAGCCCAGTGCTGCACATTTCACAAGCCTTGGTTCAGAACAAGAAAACAATTCCTCCCATATTTTCCCCCTTCCCCTCTCCCAACTAGTTCTCAGAATGGGCAAAGACTATAGCAGCTTGGAGGACAGAAGGGACAAGAAACATGCTTTTATTGTGCTCTAGGTGAACTATAACAGTCAGCAGAGGCGGCATGCCCACCACTATGGTGGCTGCCAATCTGGGTTCAAGTCCCTGCTGTGTCACTTGTCACCGGTGTGTTCTTCAGCACCTCAGGAGCCTCTCTGTGCCATGGTTCCGCCTTGATGAGAGAGGCAAGGATAACTGTATTTACTCCATAGCACTGGTGGCTGGGAAATGGGATGAGTAAAAGCACCAGCACAAGGACATCTGGTGCAGAAAAGTACTCACAAAATATTAGCTCTTGTGATTTTTATAGCAATCCTCATTTTGTCATAAGTAGACTGTTGTGGGTCTGAGCCATTCAGGATCAGCCTGAGTGACCCACAGCCCCCAGATGCACATTCGACTCTTTACCAGGTGCACAGACCTCCTTCTCTGTGTGCGTGTGTGTGTCTCCCTCTCTCTCTCTCCCCTTTCCTTTCATCCTTTGGCTGAGATGGTCCAGGCCATTTTGGGGAACAATCTGGGAAGTGAATCTTGAGCAGAGAAACTTACACCTGTGACAAAGCTGATTTAAAAATAGCCTCTGTCAGCAAAGAAAATAAGAGGCACAATAGCAAAGAGCTCCTCCATGACCTTCACCATCCCCAAGTTGGGGAGAGATCAGGATACCGTCATCCACTTCCAGAAAGTGACTTGCAGTCAGTTTGCTTTTGGTACTGGGGATTGAACCCAGGGCCTTGTGCATGGAGGCAAGCACTTTTCCTACACTTTTGAACCCTTCTCCCTTTGAGCTGAAGTAAACTTACTCAACCTCCTCCGTGTTTCCATCTTGACTTCTGACATGGGACAATGGACCGACCCTGGGGGTGTACGAGGGCTGACCTCCCACAAAGCCAGCACCTGTACCCTTGCATGCAGCCCTACCCAGCCGAATGCTGAGCGTCTCAGAACTCAGGGGGCTCGGGAAGGTCTGACTGAGGTGGGTCTGGAGCAAGCTCTGCAAAACGGCACCCCAGCAGCTCACCCATGAAGTAGGTGGTCGTCTTGCACACTGCGCTCCCGAAGATGAAATCCTTGAGCAGGCTGGGGATGAGGTTGAAGGGCATGCAGAAGAGGCAGAGCATGAGGTCACTGACAGCCAGGGAGAGCAGGAAGATGTTGGTGACTGTCCTCATCCTCTTGTTCCGAATCAGCACCGTAATGACCAGCGTGTTTCCCAGCACACTGAGCAGGAATATCAAGGAGTACAAGAGAATCTGCACCGCCGGCCACCACTCTGCAGAGGAACAGGGAGTGGGCAGCAGCGGGATGAGGGTTATGAGAGCAGACTGCTAAGATCTTAGTGCTGATTCCTGCTCCCTCCCCGGTGACCCCACCGCTTCCGACATGGACAACACTTTGCAGAAACAAACTGAGCAAAGCACAGGGTGATTCAGTTGCTTTAGAAAGGTTGGGTTGTTAAAGGATCTCTCAGGATCCCACTTCCTAAGGACAACGCAGCTGAAGCAGCTGAATAGTGCCGGCTTGCTTCTTTCCCAGAGGCTGAGCATTGTTTGGCTTTAATCACGCTGGGTTCCCCCAAGAAAAGGCAACTGCTCCATTGTGACAGCACGTTTTCTGTGGTGCTTGTAAGGTCAGGCTGTCACACTTGCATTCCTTTCTCACTACATTCAGCTCTCCCTCCCCCTGGTTTTGTCCTCCCCAAGTCCTACTCAGGGGTCCCCGGCTCTCCTTTGGGGAACAGTACAATTATTTGACTCCAGTCTGCTTTTGATCCTTTAATCCAAACTTCTGAGCACATGACTTTACCCAGTCTTCACTCACAATGCATGACTTTTTAGTGTTTTCTTCAGCTTTGCCTTGGTGGATTGCTCCCCTCAACTCAGGAGTTTTTTGAATTAAAATAATAGCCACGGGCACCTACCTTTGGAAGGCTGAGGCCGATCCAAGCAGAAAAGTGTCTCATTTTCAAAGCCAAGCTCGCAGGGAGGCGTGATGTTGCTCCCATTCACAAGAAGGCTGTCCACCACATCCATCCTTGCTTCTGCTTTCTACGAAGTGCCGGTGGGCTGGCGAACTGCTCTCTCCAGGCTCATTCCTCTGATGACCAGAGCGCCTCCCAAATGCAACCTGCCATGGAGGGGCAGGCAGGGAGTGATTTCCAGGTGTGGGCAATTGCAGTCATTCCTAAAGGGAGCTGGAGTTCAGCACCCTCGGTCTGGCTGGGCACGCATCTGCTCTCCTGTGGTGAAGGAGGCAGCTGGTGCAAGCCCAGCCACTCCACCTTCCAGGCCCTCCCCGCCCATTCCTGGGCCAGCTTCAGGCCCTGAGCATGGACAGCCGGGCTGCAGGTTAACCCTTTCCAGCATGCGGCTGCCTTTATACACACACGTGTGTGTGCGTACACAGTCACATGCTCACACTTCCCCGGGACCTGTCTCCTCTGCATAGGAACCTGTCACTATCCCAGACATGCAGAATGAAGCTCAAAGTGGCTGTATGAGACAGGACTGATTAACACGGTAACCAATCTGATAATGCAGACCATCAGGACCCAGGGACACAGAGGGCCTGTGTTCCCACCTCCTTATATAAAAGCCATTAGTGCCTTTTTAGGTTTGGAATGGTGCCCAGCAATGTGTGTGGCTCTAGCTGCTGGGAGATTGTTAAGTTATTACCAAACACGCTGTTATTTCTTGTAGTCTCTGCCTTTGTTAACCAGAAGGAGGAAGACACTTATGAATATAGGGTCCTGGATCCTTATTACAAAACAAAGCAAGATTTCCCATTTATTCATTCATTTATCCATTCATTCAGCACATATTCACTGAGATTTGACCATATGCCAGGCACTTCTCTAGCACATCAGCAAATAATGAGTAAGGAAAGGCATTTTAGATGGTGTCGAGAACCATGAAGGAAGTTACACAGTGGGAGGTGATGGGGAGGGATGATTCAGGATGCTACTTATCCACAGTGGTCAAGAAAGACCTCCCTGAAGAGGGGATCATGATTGGAGCCTGGGACAACAAAAAGGAAGGAGAAGAAACATCTTCTAAGCAGGAAGAATAGTATTTTCAGCAGAGGTCACAGCCAGTGCAAAAACCTTGAGGTTGGCCTCTTTGAAAAACAGAAGTGGATGTGAATGAGGGGGATATGGTGGGAGGTGGGGTTAGGGTCTGGGTTTTTCAGGAGGTCTTGTGGTATTTGAAGGCCGCTACCCACCCACTGTGCAGAAGTTCTCCCCAGTTCAAACATTTGGGAAGCAGAGGGCAGCCCTAAGTTTTGTTCGGGCTCATGCTTAGCTGAGCTGAGGCTCTCTCTGTTAGCTGCACACCTCTGGGCCCTGATGTGTGTCAGAGCTACAGGATGGGTCTTTGCCGACTTCCTGCCAGACACATGAGCCAACTGGTGTTTTTGCTGTGGGGCTGGGAAGACAGTGGCGGCCCCACACAAACAGCTCATAAAAGCCCAGAGTGGAAGGGACGCTGGAGAAGCTGTGCAGCACCAAGGCGAGCTCTGACATGAGGCAGATCTGGGATCAAATCCTGGCTTTGCAGTTTCCCCTCGGAAAACACTGGCAAGTTCCTTCGGCACCCTGCAGCTCATCTTCCTCATTTGTCAGTGTCAATGGGGCACAAGGACTTCACAGGAATTTGTAATGAAGACGGACTGACTCAGGACAGGTGTGATGCACAGAAAGTGTTTGAGACTCATAGACGACAGCATTAATAGCCTTCTAACAGCACCATTTTCCTTTTACACATGAGGGGACTGAGACCCAGTGATTTGCTGGAGAAGCAGCGGTGTCCCAGTCCCCGAAGCCTCTGCCTCTCCGGGCCGCATGTGCCGAGCCTCCTGTGCCATCGGCCGAGTCTTCCTCATCTGCAGATGACTGCCCAACCTGCAGGCCCAAACTGCGCTCCTACCCTGCCCCCGAGAGCTGCCCAGCCAGCAGTGCTCTGGCCTGGTAGGGATCAGCGTTTGAGTTTGACCCTGGGGACAGGTAAAATTTCATCTCACTGCTCTGGCTGGGAGTTGGCTGCCTAAACCGCACCATCTAGGCAGGAATCCCTGGCACGGAGAGCCACTGACTCCTACTGAGGTTAGCAGGCCTGTCAGCATTAGGGGAGTGCATGGAGGCCGCCCCAAAGCTGGAAGAAGGGGCCTCAGTGCTGACCTGCCCTGGGCTGAAATGGCCAACCTGGCCAGTTCCTCCCTCCCTCCCTTCCTCCTATCCTGTTATTTTCTTTTATGCCCATTGATTGGCATGAAGAAGACAGGAATGCAGCATAATTGAGTGCTATGGCTCACAAACTCTACTGTGCATCTAAATTACCTGGATGAGTGGCTTCCCGTGGGGGATGCCAAGTTCCCCTCATCTGCAGAGATTCTGGTTCTTCAGCTATAGACCTGGGAATCTGCTTTTGTCCTTCTTTTGGCTGCACTGGGGATTGAACCCAGGTCCTTTGCACTAAGCTACATCCTCAGCCCTTTATATATCTTTCATTTTGATACAGGGTCTCACTACGTTGCTAAGTTGCCCAGGGTGGACTCTTTTGATTCTCCTGCCTCAGGCTCCCAGACTGCTGAGATCACAGGTGTGTGCTACCAGTGTGCTGTGCATTTTGATTCTGAATTCCTGATGACTGAAGACAGCGATCTCAGGACTGTGTGTGGGGAAGCACCCTGGGAGTCAGTAAGGAAGTGAGGGTGGGTATCGGACCCCAGGAATCTGAGCCTGGGCTTCACACTGGCCAGCTGTGGAGCATGGCCACATTAACTCAGTCTTTCCAATCTCAATTTGCTTGTCTATAAGCAGGAAATAAAGTAATTCTACTTATCATCTAAACCAAACATGGGAGGCACTTAGACCTATGCCTGGAACATAGCTCTGGGTACTGTCTTATAATTAATGGATAAGGGTAATTCCAGGGATGCTGTCTTTATTCTCTTACCATGGTCAGATTAAGGATTTGTCTCATCAGTGCCTAGTACACTGCCTGGTCTATAGTAAATACTCAGCAAATGTGAATGGAAGGTGAACAGTCAGGACTGCCGGTATTTCAGTGCCCACTGCGCCCTTTGCTAACTCTGTACATTGCTTCTTTTCCTGGCCAACTCTGGAGTTTTCAGTCTCAGCTTGTAAGCCAGCGTTATCTTCCAGGGAAAAGCTGGCACATTTCCAGAAGCCAGGCCTGTTTCTTTCCCCAACACATTCCTACTGAGTGCCTTGCAAGCTAGGGTCTGGGGTAGGTGCTGGGATCCTGGGAGTCAAACACTGAACTCCTGTCCTGGGTTAGTTAGGGTTCTCTAGAGGAACACGGTTGATAGAAAATATGTGTATAATTATACAAGGAATTTACTAGATAGGCTCACAGGATCAGAGGTGGGGTCCACAAGGGCTGCCTACCCTGGAGAGCTGGAGGATCAAGTAGCAGTTGAAGGCTGAAGGCCTGGAAGCTCTCTGTAGAGTCACCAGTGAGAGTGCATTGCAAGTGTGAAGAAAGTGGAGACCGATGTCCAAAGGCAATGGCGAAGACTGGAGCTCCTCCAAAATGGGAACACTTCCCTCCTCTTTCCCTTTCTATTCAGTTCAGGCTACAGTCTTATTGGCTGCTGTGACTCACATCTGAGGCTGGTCTTCCCTCCTATTTGCTGGCCTACGTGTCAATCATCCACGGACACTTCGCCAATCTGCAAGGTAGTTCTTACTCAAGTCAAGTCCACATATCACAATTATCAGCTCCATGTGGGAGACACACGATGAGGGGATGGGGCAAAAGGGAAGTGTTTCTCACCTCAGAGCCCATCCTCAGATTGGGAGCAGCTCCAGGTAAAATGACAAAATTGGCTGAGTTGGAATGGTTTAAGCCCCTCTCTTCTCTCTGTGATGTGTAATACTGGGCAGGCATCAGCCTCCTGTGGGCTACAAAGCCCTGTGGGGATTAGGCCTTTCTTTTCTGCCAAATAGCAAGAAGAAAAGAATATGAGCAATTTTGATGGGTTCCCGGGAAATGATATTATTAACTACTCCCCAAATGATTCTCTATCTAAAGCAACAATTGCTCTAAAACCCTGAAAATATTTCTATGTGTTTCTCTTCACTATTTCATTAATCACACTCTCAATGCCAATTTCTTAATAAAGAAAAATGAAGGCATCAATATAACACAAACAGATTTCAAGGGCCTGAATGATTTATTCTCAGTCCCTCTCTCCTTTTTTTCCCCCCAGAGAAACTTAGTCCAAAAGCCAGAGGTAGTTAATGGGCAATTGAGTGCATGACTGACCCAAATGACAGGGCAATGTGACATTTCTTAAAATCCTCGTGCTTCTCCCTGTTCCCTGACCCTGCTGTGTGAATGTTGCTGTCCACATTTACCATTTCTGTCTCCTGCCAGGCTCCCCTAGTCTGCAGCCCTCGAGAGTTCTCCTCCTGCCCTTCCTCTCATGCTCCCAGCCTTCTGGACAGGACCAACTGGGGCTCACTCCTTCCCCGAAGTGTGCGTGCCAACCGAGTTATGGTGAGGGTGGCCACCTAAGGCTCTTGTGTGACCCCTCCCCACAGGGGGTGGTGTAACGGGCCCTGAAGTCGTTCCTCCAATGGCTGCCCTTCCTGGAGAAATCACACTGGATCCTGTTTGGTGAATCACCCACTTTCTCAAGACACAGGAAGTCAAGGGTTGTCACGTCTTTCTGATGAGGCTGTCATTTAATAAGCCATAGCTGGGCTTTGGACAAGTAGCTTTGCCTCTTTCCACCTCCATTTCCTTGCCTGATTCCAGCGCAATCCCCACCTCTTAGGCTGCAGGGATTTACACGTCACTGTGTGTCTAAAGCACTCAGCACAGTGCTTGTGTGTCACAGGGCTCTGTAAATAATGATAGCAACGATGCATCAAGCTTTACCTTGATAGGACACAAAAATATTCTTAGTGTCATTGCTTCAGGGAGAGGTCCATCAGCCTTGTCTTCCAAATGCAGGTTTAAAAAACAGATTTGGAATAATTCCCTCTAAATAATATTCCTCCTATGTTCACTTTCTGAACATGTAATTTTAAGATA